TATACACGGTGTCCATTTTTCGAGTGCCACTATGGGGATCTCGCTTACCTTAAGAGATAGAAAGTTGGTTAAATGGGGGCAAAGTTGCGAATTTCCTTGCTGAATAACCATCTGAAAAGAAATTTAAAATATCATCAATAGTTCTGAAAATATCACAAAAAAACGAAACTTTCTGATTTTCGTTTTTAATTTTTTCATGATAAACTAGTCGTACTAGACATTTCTAATTAACACATTATTCGAACACTTCAATGGAGATTTCGAATCTGACATCTCGGTTTAAATAACTTTTAAGATGACAGAGAAACACGTGGCAACTTTAGTTTTTCTTATGGGCGCCATTTTTAATTTTGAGATTTTAAGATTACGTCTTTTTTTCTCTTTACGACGATATATCACACATGGTGGTTCAGTATCACATTTTTCCTAAAATACAATTTTTAATTTTTTGGGAAGAGTGCTTTGGAAAAACAAAACGTTCTTTTATTGTGAACAAAAGTTTGACAGTTTGATGCATATGTCCGGTTGCAGAGTTGGCATCAGGGAACTAGATGTGTTGAGAAAATTCGATTTTCATATGAACAGAATTGAACCTTCGTTTTGCAAGAAAATTATAATTCAAATTAGAACAAAATGCATAAGAATAAATAATATTTTAACAATAAAACTAGCACAAACGTAAATGACACTGCTTGAAATAAGTCAACATTTTGTTCACAACAAAAGAACGTTTTGTTTTTGCATAGCACTCTTCGCAGAAAATGAAAATTGTATTTTTAGAAAAAATGTGATACTGAACCACCATGTGTGATATATCGTTGTAAAGAGAAAAAAAGACCTAATCTCAAAATGTCAAAATCCAAAACGGCGCCCATAAAAAAAACTAAAGTTGCCACGTGTTTCTCTGTTAACCTGAAAGTTATTAAAAACGGGATGCCATATTCGAAATCTCCATTAAAAAGTGTCTGAATAATGTGTTAATTAGAAATGTCTAGTACAATTAGTTTACCATGAAAAAGTTAAAAATGAAAATCAGAAATTTTTGATTTTTTGCCATATTTTCAAAACTATTGAAGATATTATAAATTTATTTTTAGATTATTATTCAGCACGAAAATTCGCAACTTTGCCCTCATTTAACCAAGTTTCTATCTCTTAAGATAAGCAAGATCCCCATAGTGGCACTCGAAAAATGGACACCGTGTATAGACTACCCTATATATTTTTGAGTTTTTGAAAAGAGCGAAAATTTCCACAAGTATCACTTATATTTATATTAAATATTATTTGCAATACTGCATTTTATACATTAAAATGTTTTTAATGTGGGCATCTAGGTTTCCGTAGCGAACAAAAAATGGCGGGATGTTACCCAGTTACCCTTGAAAAATCGTTCCGTAATCTCGTCATCCTCCAGGACTTCTCGGCGCCTCAAGCTTTCACACGCATTCAAGCAGTCAGGGCCGCATTCAGGAAACACTTGCCCGTACATAATCGAAAAAATGTATACAAAATTCGTTGACGGGCTTCCGTTACAGGCATCCTATAAATTAGTGTACACTGAAGATGTTGAGACTTTTGGAAAAATATTTGCAAAATCGTAAAGAGCATTCCCAATCTCTTATCCAAAGAAGTATCACCCTTCGTGATAGTCTGGTGGTTCTCGAGAAAAAAATTAACAAAGTAATGTAGTGTTATAGACTTTTTCTTCTAAAAGAAACAGTATTGACTTTTGGTTTATTTTAAAAACATTTTTGGTTTGGTTCCCTATATCATGCGATTTTTTTTGTACAACTCAAATGTTACACCCTTGTATGTAGTACAAACTTGAAGGTTAGATTTCATTGGGTATTTTGTCAATGTATTGTTAAAGATTTCATTGACGTAATCAATGAAACCGTGCTGATGTTCCATGTGTAGGTACCAGGTTCGCCGGAATAGGCGATACAACTTATAAGATTTCAAGATTTTTCAAGATTGTTTTGAAGGTGCCCATGAAGATTTTTAGTGAAATTTTTTCGAAGAAGGTGTCAAAACATCTACACTTCTCAGAATACAAATCAGTTTTTAGGAAACTTTCGTAAAAAAAAATTCAAAGGATTAAGGACCTATTCGATTTCGAGAAAAATTTCTAAAAAGGTCTTCAAGATTATTTTATAATTATTGAAGATGTTTAACTTCGAAGTGCCTAATGAACATTACTTGGTAAATGGCATTGTACTGCTACCGATACCTACTTCTTTAAAAACAAAATTTTATTAGAGTTCACAGTTACAAGGTTTCGAAATATCTATTTTATATGATTAATAGGTGGGATAACATAAATTAGTCGCATTGCTGAAAATAATCAGCGGATATTATGTACGTATGGCAACAACGTTTCATTATTTTCAATTGCAAAATCTGCCGTGAAAAATTTGATTATGAGTCGAGTTATTATAGTAGGAAATAGGACGTGATGAATCGGAATGAAATGCAAGATCACTCGACTTTTATTTACCTAAACAAAAAAATCCGTCAGTCAGGTTGCAACAACATCGCGGTACTAACAGTCATCGCAGTCAATGGATAATTACACTTGTTCGTCATTACGGATTAATTTCCGGAAGTAATGATTGAAGAATCATTGACCCGTTATCTATTGGGTTAAATAGAAAAATAACTGCTTTATTACACAAAATTGGGACACGCTGTATACATATTTTTGCCTGTAGGTAGATGTGCACAAAAATTGAGTACAACGTGATGTAAATTATACTATTAAAGCTATAAATTACGCTATAATCCCTATCCCAGTGTACGTATATAGTAATTCGCTAATTAGTAACATTGATTACAATCAGTTTGAGACCTAGTTATCTATGTAAAGGCAAAATCGACGTCATAACAACGTCTCAAAAATGGCTCTAATGATTATTTATGACTTTCTCACGACTGCAACGGTCTATAATAAAGCAAACATTTTCATTCATCTCGGCCCGTTTTCGTTACCCAATGATCATTATCGTTAATAATCATTTTTTAGATAGGTACCCAGAACAAAAAGTTATTATACTAATTATGGGTTTACAACACGGTTACGCCTTTGTATTTAATTATAGGCATGTTAAATGAAACTGAAACACAAATTAATTTGTTAATGGGAAATAAATACCGCTAATAAATAAACACACACGCCACAGGCACCAAAATCTCATCACTATGGGGACCATAAATTTCCATTTTATTATTAGTAGGTAACCGTTGCCATATTTAAATAAAAAGAATGGGAATGCGCGTTAGAATTTTATTTAGAGAAAACGCCAAAACGAACGAATTAATAACAATCCAAACAAGTAAAGTATAGGGACCGTCGTTCTCTACCATTTTACAGGTAATAATTTATGCCTTCGGACATATAAAAAAAGACAAAGATGGGACCGGCCTGTAGTTAGAGGGCCATAGCTCATAGTGTACGCGGCCCATCTGTAAACATAATGGTTACTCTGTCAAGATGGCAATTAAACCACCTCGCATGATAGGTCAGAGGGCATCGAAGGTAATCTTGATATCTATACACAGTTCTTAAAGTTAAAGAAAGAAACCGAACGTTTTTTTTCTTTTTATTATTATACCTATTACACACACGCACGTTTCATTTTTATTTGCAGGCCACCATCGATAAACCTGCAAATATACCGGTCGTCCTCTCGTTTTCTACAATCCTTTATCAGACGAGAACGGGAGGTTTCCAATCAGAAATTCAGTTACCGTTAGGTATGGTTGTTAATGCAGTCTTTAAAAATCAAAATTGGCTTTATGTACAAACACCGCATACCGAAGAAGGATACGTTAATTACGCCGCCTGTTTGCCATTAGGTAGGTATGGTATTAAGATGTTACTTTAGATAACGCACAACGAAACGTTTCAGGCATTATCCCTCCGCCGACGGACTCTCCCGTGCCGTGTTGGGAGAACAGCACCGACGTCTTCCCTAAGCCATCGGGGAATATGACAGACACCGAAAAATTGAGTTCGCGCTCCGAATGCAGTTTGAGTAGGTGTCACAGCAGAAGGTCTCGAACGGCTTACAGTTCTTGTGGGGAAAAGAGTGTCGATAGATTGTATTTGCAAGCGGCGGCGTGTGCAAAAATCAAAGGAACTAAACAAACTCTTTTAGTAGTGTACTGTGATTACCAGGGGAAAGGAGAGAACGCGATCAGTGTCACCAAAGGAGATGTGGTCGTGCTTGTTAGTAGTCATCTTAAAGGATGGTTCTGGATACGAAATAAACATGGCCATGAAGGGTTTATACCATCAGCCGTTGCTGGACATGGATATTTGTGAAATAATGTATTATAGTAGTCATTACAATTATTTATTATTAATGTCTTTTATTGCAACCCAGATAAAATTTAGTTTGATGATACCTGCTCGTAACAGTTTATGCCGACGGCTAGCTCATGATTATTATCCTTGACTGCAATTACCTTCTAGGAACGTAGACTTTATTCTGTTGACCTGAGAACTTATCTACTTGTCGCGCTCCTTCCCTAACTATTTGATTTCAGATAAGAAAATCGAGATTTTAAATAATTACGTATATTAAATAAAAACCAAAAATCCGCTTTCATTTACATAATATAAATTTTACTTTAAATCCCGTACAAATCGTACGTTTCCTAGCTAAGTTGCCATTTTTCAATCCAACTTCACTCATCTTTAAAACAACGATAATACCTACTTAATTGCTGCTCAGTTGGTATACATAATTCGCAATCTTAAAAATATGGATACTCCAAGCCCATTAGTCATTAATTAATATTAATAATCAACTGCAAAGTTCTAATCCCTTCAAGATGGACTCGCACAGAAAATAGATAGCTACTGATACAGGGTCACTGATAAATCTGGAAACGGTCGATTATCGTGGGAAAATACACAAGATATCGAAATAAGCTTATAGGATGCATCATAAAGGCGTGGCACAGCAAAATTGCATCTTCTTGAATGGAATACCCTGTATATTATTTGATATTTCAATACTACTCTTCAGTTTGTAAGAAGCGTAATGTACCTAAATTCAATACTTCTCGAGTTTTAAAAATAAACGCCATTATTTTAAAATTTATTGGATGATGACCAATAATTAATAATTCGAAACACGCATAAAAACATCACAATCCGTTCTTTTCAGAACCACTGTTTTCAAAAGAAATTCGTGATGTCATTAATTAATGCTCTTCATTTAATTAATTTTAAAACAATAGCGTTCATTTTCAAGACCCAATGATTCGGAAATGATTGAATCTACGTGCATTATCATTATGCTTCTTACAAATTTTGCTTTGCGAATAATATACAGGGTGTTCCATTTGCCACGCAATTTTTTGCACCACGTCGACACGACCGAGATCGTGTCTTTGTGCATATTTCTTATTTCTTGTTACATTCATCGCAATGTTTGTAAAAACTACGCCGATTGAACATCCGGCTCTGTTCTACCAATAGAATTCATTTCCTTTTAGCCATGTGATTATATTTCCAGTGAAACAGTTTGCCATACACCTACAGGTTTTCACCTGTCAAGTCCGCCTGTCGCAGGTGACCTGCCAAGTCCACCTGTCAAAACACCTCTTAATCCACACCTACAGGTTCATCTCGGTGGAGCGGTTATGTCCTCACTTTTTCCGTCCCTCTGCCCGTCATTCCGCGTTATAACTCACTCTCTAGACCTCGTAACCGACTTCGGGTTTTCGCTATATGAAAGAGCTTATGCATTCCAGATGTGGAACTATCAAAAATTAACTTTGGCATCCATCACGTTGTTGCCTAAATCGGTCAATTTCGTTTGGAAAATGACTAAACTCTATTCCTTGATGCCAAAAAAGTGTTTCATAACAATTTTTGGTGTCCAAAACATGTCAAAATTGTTATTTATGCATCAATTTTTTTGGGAAAAAGATCAGAGTCGATTGCTCGATGCCCAAAAAGTAAACAATGTGTATTTTTTGCCACGAAAATATTTTGACCCGAAGGACGTCAAAATCGGGTGCCCACAAGTCGGAGGGTGGGGTGCCAGTAGGTGCACCTGCGACCTGTCGGCTTTCAGGGCGAACGCAATTCATCTTATGGCGCGACAATCTGGCGCTTCTAAGCTTTCACACGCAAATGCATAGTCAGGACCGTAATTATGTAACGTCCATGTGGGTTAGATGATGTATATGGAAAATGCCGTTAATTTGTACTTGAAGCCTGTATCATTTTTTATGTAGGTAATTGTTTAATTTGCGGTTATGTTTCCATGGTCATCACTCATCTGTTTATGTAGAAATTAACAAATTACTCGATCGTTTGTATGAACACGTCGAATCCCTGAGTTACAACTAACCATATAGAAAACCACATTACAACATCCAGCTGGGGTATGATCTCGCAACAACCTCTTGTATAGGCTGTGATGCTACGAACGAGAGGGCAGATAACCATCCTATGGGTCGGATTCTACTAAAAATAATTTTAGGTTTTCATTCTATGTGCGCTATGAGTAACCTTTGGCTGGTTTGGTATTAACTTGTTTAAATGAATATATTTTACAAGTAGATGTAATTTTTCATGTAGTTTTTCACAAAGGGTTTTATTAAACCAAAGATGAATCACCTATTTGTACACCTACTACTAACACTTTCACCGTGAATGAGGAGGTAGCGTGGAAATAACTGTAACCACATTGGTTACGACACCTAATACCGGTACTGTTCTCGAATCTCAACTATATGCTGGGAAATCCCGCACGAGGGCCCAAATTGCTACCTGTTGCACGGCTGGAACTCTGCTAACACAAAAACCATCTTCAATGTCAAAGCCCGTAAAGTGGATGTACAATGTTATGGTTTTCATAACAAATGGATCTCACTGGAGTGGTTTTTTCAAGTTCATTTTGCTTCTCTAAGCAGGTAACAGAGGTTCAATAATTGTTGTTTTGGTGTGTCCGAACAGCACAGTTCCCAGTAAGGATGGGAACTGGCCCTTAAAAACACCAAAAATTAAACTTAAACGCTTTCTTAAAAATAATCAGGTACACTTTAAAAAACAATAAATATTTACAAAGTACTGATACGGAAGTAAACGTTTTAGCTCTCAATACACAACCACTAATTTAATTAGACGGAGCATACGAAGTAGACAGAGAGTTGACATAACTTGTCGATGATGTCGACTTAAACACCTAAACACAATTACTATTAATTTCTACACATTACCAGTAACACATACCTGTACAGAACTGCCAATGTAATTCCTCTGAAAGTTGTAATTCTTATTCTTCGCAGGATCTGGATAAAGACCGGGCAATGGCATACTCCCCTACAAAAATTTACTACACTCTCAAAAAGGCAAAAAGCCCACTACCTTATTGATCTCCGGAAATATTGCGCTAAGATTGAAACTCGTTAGCGACGAACCAGCATTAGCGGTGACACCAGCCGGGACGTCGAAATTCTGCGTACTACTCCTAGTCACGGGAACGGGTGGTAACGGCAGTAACTCGGACGACTGCTTCCCATACAAGGGATTTTTGCATGGATAAAGTTGGCTGGGTGTTGGCGGCGGAAGGAAGTTGGAATGCGTGTGAAAATCGTCAGGCAAAATGGGAGAATTTATGGTATTTGGCATCGAGAGAAATCCGAAATCGACAATACCGGGCAAATTTGATTCATTCGGCTGTTTGCTTTTCGATTTTTTTATGAAATTATTCGTGGTACTTGCACAATCCGCGTTAACCTGACCGATTTCCGCGCGATTTGCGACCGATGCCTGTTTAACTGGATCATTTCTGTTACAATGCTTGCTATCGATTTTTTCATCGGAAATCATCGAGGGAAAGTTTTGGAATTCGGGCATCAAGCTTGACGGCTGTAAGTAACTGGATGTTATTGTTGGGCCGCTTGAGACGTACGAGTTATTTTGCACTGATGTGTTGAAGCTTTGATAGTTCGTATTGGATTGCATAAAGTTGTTATCTTGCGGTATTTCAACTGGTGGGAAGTATGGTACGATATTATCAGATAAAAATGTTGGAATAGGCAGTGCTTTATTTGTCGTTGGATAGGGTGCTTGTTGTCGGTACCTTTGCTTGGGTAGTGACGTATCGGTGTGATCTTGATGACCAATTAATGCCTCGGCGGAATAACTACTTTGAGGGTTCTTATGAGGGTGACGGTTTGGTTTTGTACAATCATTCATCCAGGAGTGTTCGATATTTGACATTCCATAATTAACAGTTCCTTGTTTTCGACGGGCTTTGCCGTTTTTTTTGCGAATTACTCTTTACATTTCTATTGCCGCTATTACGGCGGGTAGTGGTTCGAGACGAGCTAGCTTCAGTCTTATTCTCGACTAGTTGACTAACAGACAAAAAGTTACTTTGGTTATCATAGGTGACCGAATTAACTTTCGACCTTCTAGTGCTCTCCTTCGTCTTAGGTTGCTCACCCTTCTGCTCGTTGAACTGCGTCTGCGCAGTACCCAAGGCGAGATCGCCGACCAATGTAGGTAGCGTGGATGAAACAAACGTATGGGGCGTCTCCAAGAATTGAGGTAATTTAGTTGGCGACCATGGAAATTGGTTTTCCTCAAACTCGTTGCGCTGTGACGAATTTGTCGGTAGAATTGGAAGACTACTGTCAAAAGCTTTGCGATTGTCTCCAATGGAATTTTGAAACTCGGTGCTCGGATACATGGACGAGGTCGTATTAAAATAAGTTGTGTGCGTCGAGCTAGACGTATAGAAAGTGTTCGGATTATAATCAATGGGAGGCACTAAGTAATCACCGCTAGGTGGTTGTGATCGAAAATCGGGTGTTGTCATCCAATTGATGGGTGGTTTCGGATTAGTTTTGGTCGATTTTGTATTCGGCTTGGGCTGCGTCTTATTTTGATGATAGTAAGGCATGTGGCGCTTCCTGCTGTCACTGCTATTATAGCTTATCTCCGAATAATTTGTGGCATTATAAGCATTATTGGGCTTAGACGATTTGGGAGGGTAGTATACATTTTGATTAAAATTGGTCTCGTTGTGATGACCGTAACCGTAATTACTATTCGTATACAATGGATCTGAGTATGATTTTGAGAAACTTGGGTACGAGTTCGGTTTCGAAAAATCGGAAAACGGGTTGAAAGCATTGCACTGTGCTATACTAACCGGATTATACTGCATATCGGCAGGCTTACGTTGTGTACTCGTGCAATTATTTGTTGGTACACTATTCTGCAAGTAGCTGCTAGTGACTAACGGCGGCGGGAGAGACGGTTTTGAATATGAGACCGCAGGAGTTTGTTGTGTGAACGAATTTGAGACTACCGACATAGTCGGTTTCGAAACAATCGCCGGCTCAGTGGAATATACAGGTAGACTTGTAGACGTAGTACTCGCAACCTTAGCTGTACTCGAAACGTCGGTAACTTTCGCGCAAGCTGACGAGATTTTGGCACTATCGACAACGGATCCATTATCAAAGGAAGGATAAAAATTATTGGCGGAGAAAAACGAAAAGTTATCCAAGTTGAGAAGGTTAGGCGTTAAACTCTCCGCATTTACACTTTGAGTGGTCTTTGTAGTTTCCATGGTACCAATCTGCAACAAGGTCGGAGTGCCATGTCTACTATCTGAATTTTCCTCCTCAATTACTTCGGTGACCTTTACTCCCGTTAAAGAAGACACTAGAGGAAATGCCAAAAGAAACGCGGCGGTCGGTGAAGTTGACTCCGGGTTTTGACCACCTATGGGTACTTGTAATGTAGAAAATATGTCATTGGATAGCTCGGAATGATTCAAATTAACAGCCAGCTCGCTAGTGGTTGTTGGAGGGGGAGTATTTATTTTATCTTGTTCTTGTGATTTCGCTGGTGCCTCTACAGGCGGATCCTTCTCTTTGGGAATGGAGTCTTGAACTTCTTCAGTTGTTTTGTCTTCAATTACAGGAGCGACGATTTCACTTTGTTCAACTGTATCCATTTTTTCCTCATTTACACCTGGAACTTCCTCTGGCGCGTTTTCTTTATTTACAGGAGGTTCTTTTTCAACAATTTCACTTTCATTAGCACTCACCGCTGGGTTTTCAACTTTATTTTCCTTATTTTCATCTGCCTGCGGTTTGTTTACTGGCGCAGGTTTCGACTTTTTGTTTGGAAATTGATTGTTTGCAACTTTCCGTTTAGTTTTCTTATTGGTTTTATTTTCAACTTCTTTTTTCTTTGTAATTACTTTCTCGGTAATAGTCTCTTTAAACCTAGGTATGGCCGGTATAGGAACCTTATTTGATTGAGTTGTACAGGTGATAGGTTTAGGTCGAATTCTAGGATGTATTGTTACATTATTATTTATCGCCACTGATTTTGTTGCGCTAGTGGCAGAAGTAGCTGGTGGCATTACGATAAGAGTAGTGTTGGCGGGAGGCGGTTTAAGTATAATGGGGGTTGGATTTGTTAATATTGTAGGGGATGGTAGGACAGCTGATGGTGGTAGAATAGGTACAATGTTACCATTTGCCAAAATTAAAGTTCCTGGGCCTAACTTATTGAGTGTTTGTGATGAGACCTTCGGTAAAGTTGTTGTACTTAGTGGTGGTTTTATTACTGAAGCCACCTTTGGAGTTGTAAGTGAGTTGGAATTCGTTACAACTGCAATATAAATTAAACCTCAATAACGCTCAGAAATCCTCCCCCCTCACTTATGCTAAAATCCAACTACCTAATTCTAATATTTGTACCTAATCATAGCAGTTGACGCATACATTTTCCCATTTCAGGCTAAATAAAATCTTTGCAACCCACGACTTAATTGAAATAATTTTGCATAATTATAAACCAAGTGCAAAAGTTTCAAGTGATATTTTCAATCCTATTATACATCGGGAAACATCGCGCGTGTCAGATTTCTTAAAAACCCTAGGCACAAAGTTGAGTTTTTTGTTTTAATTGGGCGCGTTCAGCCGACGCAACAGTTGATTTAAACCAGAAATATGTTTTAGGTGTGGTGACATTCAACATAAAAACAGCGCCTGAACGGTGATTGCACTTCAGTTGTCGCTAAAAACAGTATTAATTTCTATAATAAAACATACCTCCTATAATACCTGCATTTTTTGCCACCAATTTATTATTAATTATAAAATAATCCTTCCTTTATATTGAGTCTACAGACCAACATAACCACTATAAAATTTCAAAGAATTATATTACAAACTATTAAATTTAAACATCTGACATAACCATGAGTACCAACCGAAAAATTTAGCATGAGAACTCTTATCTAGGTCGTACAGAATATCCGGTCGTAACTGCGGTTTTCAACCTACAGAACGCACAAACAAAGAACATCGTTTGCTATCCCGATGTGCCTGAAAGAAGCTCTTCAAGATAAAGAGAACTCTATACAAAAACTTATGAATTATTTGGTCTGCACAAAATTAATCTTACAAGTGTAATAATCAATATATTTGAAACAACATAATGTAATCATATCCAGTGAAGTGAATAGTAGTCTTAGTATATGTACATAATTATTGATGTATATATTTAAATTTTTCTAAAATATTGTATACAGATGCATATAGCCTTAGCAGCTGCGCATCTTTTTTTTTAAATAAAAAAAACAACATTAAATCTAACTGTTGTTGCTTCTGGAACTTCACTTCTTTACTTGAATTTAAATTTCGATTTAGACAGCACTGACTTTGTTTGAAATGCAGATGTAAAATTGGCTCATGGATAGTGGAAACACTCCCTTTAACTGGTACTAGGAAAAGCTTCACATAAGCGATATACGCTCGATAAAAACAACACTCCGCCAGTAAATGACCGTTTTGGCGTGTAATTTTTCGCGCCTCGACGGATTTGCTTGAAAATTTGGATTTAGGTTCATCTTACCCTCTCTTAACTCTAAAAGTAAGTATTGTATCGAAAAAAGTAATCTTATTAAAAATATAGCTTATAAAAAAACAAACAAAATGGTCTATATATGAAGTCTGTAGACTCAGTAGAAGCAAAGTTGTAGCTAATGGAAAGTAGGTTCCTATTCGTCAAATTTCAAACTGAAATAACCAAAAAATGAAGCACTTTTCGGTGAAAACTTATGAATGCTTTTTTAAAGTGTTTGAAAAATCTTTCTTTTTGTTTTTAAGAAAAGTTCCTACCATCAAAACTAAGTGAGTTCCGCTCAAAATAAAGTTGGTCCTTTTTTCGAAAAAAAAAAAAAATCAAGGAAATCACCCCCTAATTAGCACCCCAATTTTAATTAAGCGTTACCGCTTTACAGTTTACTTTATTTATGTATTGATTATATGATCTGTAAGTTTGACCGGTGCAAAGTGCGATTTACAAAAAGCGCATTTCCACTTGCATTCATTTCCCATTTGTAAGGTGCAACTTCTGTTAAAATCGTAAAAATCTGGCCACAAATATGAAAGATAGCGTTACAAATGTGCAATCTATTTTTGACGTGCTACTTCAATTTCAGTTTATAAGAAGAATTTCAATGCTTTTCTAAATAAAAAAGTTGGAACTGCGCATGCGCAAATCTAAATTTTGAAACTAACGTTAGATTTTCCTTAGTTCCAAGCGCCTATGTATCAAATTTCATTTAAATGCTTCCATAAATAAAAAAGTTGGCACTGCGCATGCGCAAAACCAAATTTTGAAACGCGTTCGTTTGATTTTCCTTTATTCCAAGTGCCTATGTATCAAAATTCGTTTAAATTCTTCCATAAATAAAAAAGTTGACACTGCACATGCGCAAAACCAAATTTTGAAACTGGCGTTTGATTTTCCTTTATTCCAAGTGCCCATGTATCAAATTTCGTTTAAATTCTTCCATAAATAAAAAAGTTGGCATTGCGCATGCGCAAAACTAAATTTTGAAACTCGCGTTTGATTTTCTTTTATTCCAAGTGCCTATGTATCAAATTTCGTTTAAATTCTTCCATAAATAAAAAAGTTGGCACTGCGCATGCGCAATACCAAATTTCGAAACTTGCGTTTGATTTTCCTTTATTCCAAGCGCCTATGTATCAGATTGCATTCAAATACTTTTATAAATAAAAAAATTTGCAATTCGGTTTATAAATGGTCGAGATGCGAAAAGGGCACTGTGAATTTTGAATCGATTCGACTCAACTTTTGGCATTGCGTATTATATGGCTAAAGCTATGCCCATATTGAATTTCATGCAATTCAGTTCATAACTAACGGAGGTGTCAAAGCGATCGGACATTTATAAACAAAGTTATCGTTCACACGGACAGATAGACAAAGGAACAGACGGACAGACCAACAGACAGCAATACAAAATTATAAACGATCTCTAGGATCGTTAATAAACGGCAATAGTGTAAAATTATGGAACATGTAAAAAACGGTTTGTTGGTTTTTTTAAAATAACTTTTTTAGCAATAAACGCAGAAAAAATTCCTTCCTTTATGCAAGCCTCGACGCCATAACGAACCAAATAGCGAAAAAAGTAGAACAATAGCTCTTAAGATAAAGAACTAGTGGCGTCTCAACGAACGGACGGACGGATAAAGTGGCCACAATAGCGCATTTTTTTAAATTCTTGTGGAAATGCGCTAAAAACTAAGCGATTATTGTAAATTGAATTGTCGTAGAAGACACAGCTAAATAATAGACATGTATTTTTGGTTTATTTAAATAGGTACCTCTCTAAGTAAAATTACCACATGCTTTGTTTTAAACTTTCCGAACCATCTCCTCCTGATCAAATTATTGTGTCATTGAAAGAACTCATATCCAAACAACAGTTTGTGACCATATCCGGACGTGCAGCCGCTAGGAGCAGTTCGATCGTTTGAAAGTGCGAGGGCGATCGATAGCGGGGCGTTACAGAAACTGTAATTGTTTTGTCGCTCGAACAATAGATGGCGGCGTTACAAATAATTTCAGTTGTAATTCGAATGTTTTGCCTTTTAATGGTTAGATGTCAGGATGGTTTTTTGTTTTATCGAAATATGTTTGGAATGATCTAAAAATAAATCCCTTACACAGCGTAGCGTAAATTTGTAATGTAATAAACACATTGAAAATTAAGTTTCAAGGTGTGTGGTTTCACATTTTGACGATTAGTCAGTTACAGTTACATTCTAACGTGTTCTTGTTGATTGTTGGAACTTTTATTTTTGGTTAAGTGATATTAATGGTGCATTATCATAAACAGTAGGATTTAGTGTTTAGTTGTTTTGTTGTCTTTATAACTTACAAATTCAAATTTCAATGGTGTGATGTTAGGTTTATGAATCAAGCTCAGACTTAAGTTGGTGTTTATAATAAATTATTCGCCAAAGTAAATTTTTGTGAAATTAGATTTGTGTAACTACCTAAATGATGTGATATTGGAACTTACACCATTTTGGATAAAGTATTTATTTTATATAACTGCAAGTTGCATATTTTCATGTACTTATTACAAATGATTAAATATAATATTTGATCTGGCAAGTTCAAGTCCAGATTTAAATAGTGCTTCGTCGTTACTTACATCTGAAAAAAAAATGCCTGGAACGGCTTGCTACTACTTCAATTGTAACAAGAAGAAAAGCGACTTTCCATTTTTGCGAATGTTTAGGATTCCTGTAAAGGATACCCAACAGACCAAGCAATGGATTATAAACTGTGGTACGTATACCACATACTCTGTAATGACTTAATGAGGCTTTACAATAATTTAATTGATATGATAGATTTTTCTACAGTTACAATTACTTTCATGATAATTTGTACACACTCTGTGATTTAGTTGAATTATCGTAAACTCTAATGAGGTAATGTATTTAATATACCAATGAACAAAATATCAAGTTAATCGATTCATTTTGAAAAAATTGCCATGTCAAAACCTTCGTTTTCTGGATTATAAGCTATAATACAAGAGCTGATCCATTCCCAGTGAGCTTTACTGAAATGAATACGCTATATTATTTACAGGAAGAATCAACTTATTCATTATGGAGCCAAAGCAAGTACACTCCAAGTACATATGTGAACATCATTTTGCAGTAGAATCATTTATGGATCCCCAACATCGACACAGACTAATGCCACATGCTATTCCACTTCATTACAGCGATTCAGTTTCATCGGCAAGAAAATCAGCCTCGGCCAGTATGTTATTCATGTCTAAGTATACCTTACCTAACACGTTTATTATTACGCAGAGCCCCTTTTGAAGGTTAGAACTCCTACGAAAGTGTATCAGAAGAAAGACTCATCCTTTTTATCTACACCACCACACTGTTCTTCACCTGAAGGTGGATCTTCAAACAACATCGAAGAAGATATGCAATCTGTGCGGACAAGTTGTAAAAGACCTCTTACATATGAAGACATCCCTAAAGAAAAAAAACTAAAGACCCGCCTTGGTACCCCAACAAATTAATGAAATATAGACAGCAAAAAGTGGTGAGGATGAAGACAAAAATTAAAAAACTGCAACATTCCTCTAAATTACAGATCGTATTAAACAATTTGAATTTTTCAAACAAAAATTATGGCCAAAATGCAGTTTAAAACGAAGTGTTTGCAAGAAAGAAATCTTTCATTAATGATTTTCGCCCGCCTGCTATACATTTGTGCGACAACAAGGGATCATTTTACCCGCGCCATCAACAATCCGCCATTGGATTAGTAGATCCAAGGTTTTGCACAAAGTATATATACCAAATTAAGTCAATATTCCAGGAGTATGATGCAAATCAACGAGTAGCAGTTTTATTGTTTTGACAAAATGTTCATTGTGGAGTGTTTGTAGTACTCCAAAGAAATGGACATTGTAGAGGGATATGAAGATTTGGGTCATTTAGGCAGAACAACTGCGTTAGATAACGTATTTATTTAGGTTACAGTTACCTGTATAGCAATTAAGGAAAGTAAATAATGACATTCATTCATTTTTCTTGATGGTAGAGCCATCTACGTTTTACAATTTAAATTATTGAAATCAATCACATTTCTTCTCATACAACCTGCGCTTCTGATAGTTAATAAATTCAATGATAACACGCTCTTATCTCCAAATTAATTAGCCGACGCAGCGATAACGTAACTTCTTATCGCAACGACCGGACACAACCTTACAAACACTATGCAAATATTTCCAGATGAATGAGCTAAACTTTTTAACACGTAAAATTAATTCTGGTACAAAATCAAATTAACGTCGAATTCAAATGATGTGATTGGATTCGCGTTTAATCTCGCATAATAACCACATTTACCGATACAGATAACTGAACTTCAACATACTGGGTGACTCATCAATATTATAGGTGCTCCAAACCAAACAAAAGTCCGCAGAAATACTTACTTTTTGAGTCATCCATGAAACACTGCCTGAAAATGGAGGTTTTTGGTTGAAAATTGACACTTTCACTTGCAAATAGGTCGAAAATATCGACTTCCAGTAAATTCTTTGGAAAAAAAATTTCTTAGAATTAGATAACTCCCAGACTTACTTTCAATGAAACATTTTTCACTACCGAAAAGGGACAGCATCCACCTCCCAGGGTAATAGGAACCCCCGGTACAAAGTAAACTTTGAAAAATACGAGGAAAATAAGAAAGTATAGCTAAATCCAAATTTTTAACAAAATGTGTGCTGCTTAGCGTAATTATACCGTGGACGTGCATCAACTGCTATATGATTAATACCTACCTCTACATACATAAAGGCACAGGGATTTTTAAACAAGTCGAACATTTTTTTTTTGCAAAGATTGGCTCCCTTACTATTATACAATAACCTATTTTACCTGTAGAAGCTTTGGCCTTTCCATTCTGCTGCAAGCCCAAAGGTAAGTTAAGCGTTGGCTTATTTGTAATAATAAAGCAAGGCCGATTGGATACCTTTGGAAGCGGTTGGGGGTTAGCTAACGGAATAATATTCGACAACTGTAACCTAATGACAGGAGGTTTTTTTGGTGCTAACTTCGCTTTTCGATTAACTTTTCTTTGATGTTTGTTTGCGACGGTTGTAGTCTTTTTTTTCTTCTTTACCGTTCTTTCTTTATTCTCCTCTGCAAAGTAATGTTAATTGATCATTTCCGTTTGCAAAACTCACTTTGTAATTCTTCCTTTTGAAACTCCTTGGCCTCTTCTTGCGTAATTCTGTTTGCCCATCGCCGTGGATCCTTAAAGTTCTTAACACCATACCCTGAAGGTATTGTAATGCTTGCATCTTTAAGTAGTTTACATAGCTGCTCATTGCGTAGTAGAAGCTTTTTTACACGACCATACAGCATTTTAACTTCGCAACCTAAAAAATTGTAAATTACTACGTGACAATTAAAGAAAGTAATTACGTTTAGTCTTATTTACTCCTTCTGTCGTTAGTACATTTTTAAGTTTTACTTGCAGCTCTTCAATATACTCAGTTGCTCTGTGTAGTATGTCGACTTTGCTCCATGTCAACGCAGGATCATGATTAGGAAGCAGCTTACTGAGAACGGAAAAGGCGTTGTTTAATTTATCACGTCTTATTTTTTCCCATTCGCGGCATTTTCTGCAAACGTTGATTTGATTATTTAACTAGTCACTAAAACCCTTTTACATACTTCGGTTCCCTTCTAGGTGTCATTTCTTAGGTTAGAATACTCCAGCATTTTTAAATTTTGTTTAAATTTGCTTGTTAATAATACCTCCATGCACCAAGTAATTGACTTATGTTATTGTAATGTAATTATGTAAAAATCAAGCTCATTATTTACAATCAAATCCATAATTATAAAAATTTTTAGCTAAAAGTAGAGGCTAGAGGGCACCAGCGGTCCCACCACAAAACAAATGAACTTCAATAATGTACAGGGTGTATCATAAAAAAGTCGGTGGTGAAGGGTATGGATTAACACACAACTTAATATACCTACTTGAACACTTCTAAGCGCTGACAAAGTACAAAAGGACACGGAAAGTCTGAAATTGGGAAGATTATAAAAGCTTATGAAATTATACCACGTAATATACAAAAAATAAACAGTGTTTGTGCACCGAGAATATGGGCGCTACACGAACATTTGTTTCAACACGCATTACGCACATTGCTCTTGATAGGAAAATCCCACCGACAGATGGCGCTAGTAAAAGCAAAGTGTCGGACAATCTAAATCAACAAATTACAGTGACCGTAAACCAAAAACAATTACCTAATAAGTAATTACAAACATAAACTGTTACAATAAATTCATGAGGAGTATAAATTTATTTATCGACTTCTTATCTCTTTTTGATTTTGATTTGCTTTTTAAGATATCCTCTCGATACAACGGTAATGATACAATATGCACTGAATATGAATGCAATGACAATTAAAATTATGACAGTGAGCACATCTAAGCAAAGTACTTGGAACCAGTTCAAATTCAAAGCACCCGTACGTAAATGCGGTGCGCCCTCGTGCCGTAAAACATACTCGATCCAAAACATCGCTCTGTCCAATGGCTTCATGGGTTGGTCGTGCATAATTCTCGATCTCCGAATTGCGTTCTCCTTGTACCTAGAAACGGAACTTTACCAAGTTCGTAGTCATATAAAACGTACTTGTCGTTGTTTAAAACCTCGGTGAGTGCCTTTCGAAAAGTTTCTTCGGTTAAAGCACTAAATCGCAAGAGTTTTCCGTACCCATCTGCTTCAACAACTGCCATATTCATCTCCTGGTCTCCAAAAATAGGAATGCCAACGATTGGTACGCCATGATAAATAGTTTCAATAATACTCAACAGACCGCCGTGTGTTACAAAAAGTTTAATGTTAGGGTGCCCTAAAATATCTTGTTGAGGCAACCATTTGCCAAGTTTAACATTATCAGGTTGCCCAGGTATCGTGTCATTTTCCCATTTCCACAACACTCTCTGTTTTAGTTGGGAAAATACCTTCACGATAGCGTTACGTTTGCTTTCATCCATATCGTTGCCACGCAAATTGGACCCCATGCTGAAGTAAATGACGCCATCCTCGGCTTCGTCTAAGTAATTCTGCAAGTCTCTGGGTAACTCCTGTGGTGAATTAAGATGGAAACCTCCAATCTCGATCATGTTTGGTACAAGGGGTACTGGTGAGCAGATGCTCGCGTGCGAATTTAGGAGCAATAATGATGTTTTGTAGTATAATTCGGTTATGGGCGGCGACCCTGGAAAGTTCTTTTGCAAAATTTCATTATGCTTCGGCAAAATCGACCAATAGAAGTTGATAACTCCGAAAACGACAGAGAAGGTGTTAACAAGCCGTTGGAAAAAGCTCATTTCGCTCGAATAACTTGAAAGTACTTCAGGTACGTAAGAAGGGTTAAGTGGATTGCCCATTTGTAGATTTGTAGATCTCGATAATCCAACGACACTCACCGCAACGCAATGCGCTTTGTAAAAGTTGCAGAAGCCTTTGAATGCATCATTTAGGAATTGCTCTAGGATAACCATATCAAATTCTTGATTCGACTTGAGCAAATTTTGGACACTACTTTGATTGAAAAACAGTTCTGTCAAACCTAGTCCACCCCCAGATGTGCTCCATATTTTATCTAAGAGTCCCTTTTCTGCACTTTTATACAAATTGATCGATTGGTCTACAGTGAATAATGAAATAAGAGATCGTTTATGGTTACTCACTTACTCTTCAAATAAGAATCGTAATCAATGATTATAGGTTGGTAATTTTTATTTGCCGTGTTTGGGGCAAATTTTCTTTGCACAATTGCGGTAACTTGGTGACCTCTCCTCGCCAGTTCAAGTAAAATCTTGTTTCCGAGCTGTTGATGACTACTGGAGAATCCATGAAAAATTCCAAGAATTTTTGCGCACTGTGCAAAAGTAATCAATGTTATTAGGATTAGTAAGTGAAGTGTGACTTTCATTGCTGAACTGAAATACTTAACGCGATTTATCAAATTGTGAAAGATTACTCAAACTATTTAGTAAGTTATCAGATAAGGGCATTCTATATTGTATTTCAAAACCGAGTGGTTAGATATAAATAGCAACAATTACAGTGATGCAAATAACTTATGATTGGAGTTGATAATATCTAATCATACAGACAGACTGTTACAGATGATGGAGGTGTATTTATAGATACGAGTACATTATTCAATTCGTTATTGTGGGCTAATACTAACACATGGACTTTGAATATTTTAAGATTTTTATATTCAACGCACATGGGCACAGATTAACTCACAGATATACGTATGTAAAGAACGTATATCTGCGCACATGGGTAACTCTCACACAACGTTTATTAAAACCAGATAAATAACAATGTTCATTCACAAAGTGATACGTGTAGGTGTAGGTAGGTATATGGTATATCATTTCAAATAAACTGTTAACAAACTTAACACCGATATGCTATTAGTTATAAATTCAATGCTATATGTATATACCGAGGTATATACGTTTAGAAGCTGACCTCGCAAGCTTTTGCAAGGTTTGACAACGTTGCATTTGAGATTTGTTTGGCTTTGGATTTTGAGGGTTATATTTATTTATGAGCCCTTTAGGGTTTAAAGAACATGTAAATTTATATATGCTAGTATGGACGGAAATAATGGCACACCACTCGTTAAAATCGAACCAAAACAGGAAGAAGAAATCCATTCCTCTTTTCAAGGAAACTGTTTGGTGAGCAACGAAGCGTTGGTTACAATAAAAGACGAAATTACAATTACTACACAGTGTTCTAAATCTCTTTATAATGAAGAAGTACAGCAACACTCTGACTTTCAACGTCACCTTTTAAGTAAAACAGTGTCTAAAAATTTTAAATGTGCTGATTGTGATTATGGGACAAATGATAAATGCAAAGTCAAACATCTGTTGAAACTTGAAGTTCTTAAGAATTTTAAATGTACCGATTGTGATTATAGGACAAATGTTAAAAGCAGATTTAAACGACATCTTTTAATACATAAAGTTTCTAAGCATTTTAAATGTGCCGATTGTGATTATCGGACAAATGTTGAACGCAACTTCAAAGAACATCTTTTAAAACATAAAGTTTCTAAGGATTTTAAATGTGCTAACTGCGATTATGCGACAAATTATAAACGCAACTTAAAACAACATCTTTTCAAACATAAAGTTGCCAAGGGTTTAAAATGTGGTCATTGTGATTATGAGACAAATGTTAAACGCAGCTTCAAACAACATCTTTTAAAACATAAAGTTTCTCAAGACTTTAAATGTGCTGATTGTGATTATGGGACAAATGTTAAAACCAGGTTCAAACAACATCTTTTAATACATAAAGCTTCTAAAGATTTTAAATGTGCTGATTGTGATTATGGGACAAACAATAAATATACCTTTAAGAAACACCTTTTAAACCATAAAGTATCGAAAAATTTTAAATGTGCTGATTGTGATTATGGGACAAATAATAAATGCAACCTCAAAGAACATCTTTTGAAACATAAAGTTTCAAAGCATTTTAAATGTGCTGATTGTGATTATGGGACAAATGTTAAAAGCAGGTTCAAACGACATCTTTTAATACATAAAGTTTCTAAGCATTTTAAATGTGCCGATTGTGATTATCGGACAAATGTTGAACGCAACTTCAAAGGACATCGTTTAAAACATAAAATTTCTAAGGATTTTAAATGTGCTGATTGTGATTTTGGCACAAATAATAAATACTACTTCAGAATTCACCTCTCGAAACATACATAATGATTATAAATGTACTAAGTACTTGCAATTATAAGAAATTAAAGTTTCAACCGATTAACAAAAATGTCTTAGGTATGCCACTTTAGTATGCGATCTACCAAACTCCAAATGGGGTTCGCTACTTTGTTGTAAAGACACGATCAAGCAAGCAGGTTCTACGATTCACTAAGATAAATGGCCAGTCTATGCAAATTTACGTGATCATGGTTTAATACATCGCAGTGTAAATCACCAACATAATTATATTGACCCATAACCGGTGCTAATACTCAAAGGATTGAGAGGTCATGGTTAAATGCCAAGATGAAAATCTTGAGAAATATGCGTGGGACAACAGTGGATCATCTACAATCGCACTTAAATTACCTACATAAATCCATTGCTTTCCTTAGGGATATCGCTACTGTATATATGTAAATAATTTTTGTAATATGAAATAAAATTGCATACTACATGTATATACAGTCCATTATATCCTTAGAGAACAATTATCAGGGGTAAATATAGACAAGTAGCTTGATTTTTAATAGGATAATTTTATTTTTACACTAAAGTTTTGTTGCAATGGAAAAAACTAGAGATCAAGTGTGATAAAGCTGGAGAGATTTTATCATATGCTTTTGATGGAGAGTTTTTTCCAAGAGCGGGTGTATTTTAGGGAGATTAATACAAGACAATAAATTTCATGCAATTTCTACAAGCATTTTTATCGCTGATAAAAAGCTACCTAGCTTAAAAAATCGTCTGATTGGTTAGAATTTGAAACAATCGCCGAGCTGATTGGTCGAATATTAATGTACGCTCTATAAAATGTAAACCGCGCATTTGGTAGATCGCATACTAGGTAAAGTATTGTTTTTGTATGAACAAACAATGCTATTGTGTATAAAGTGTAGATCCCATGTCATTTGTAGATCGCATACTAAAGTGGCACTTTTTTAACGACCATTTACTAAAGAAATCTTGTACAGATGTACAGTGTATGTATGTACATAAATATCCACAAGATTGCGCTGACCTTTTGTATGATTCATGGAGTATAATAAAGACATATGTACACCATGGTATGATTTGTTAAGATTATAATGTTGATATATGTAATAAAAATGGTGGTTGTGTAAAAGCCTTTCTTTCATATTAAGGTAAAAGCAGATTGTTGTGCCGAGGTCCAAATTCTTAGGAAAAACGTTAAGGAAGTCAGGTAAGGTTGTCCTAATGTCAGAAAATCCATTAAAATAAAAGTCCCGGATTTTTCGGTATTTGGAAGTGAATCTTTATAGGATTAAATTAGTCGATTTAGGAAATAAAGCATGTGGCCAAAACAGGTGCCACAGAATAGCAATTTCATTAGTTCTGGCCACTGCACTCGCCCGAAAGAGGTGTTACGCTTTTTACTTTTCGCTACGATGGCCACAAGTTGGTTTATGGCCATATCATTTTTGGCCATAGAGTGTTCACCTACAATAATTTTGTCGCAGTTCGAAAATGGCAAGAACAAAGAGAATCCGAGCGAAAAACAAACTATTAATGACACCAAGGAAAGGGCATTTTTGTAAAATATGAATCCATTCAATCGAAAAACCCTCTAAACGCTATCCGAAATTAAATGCCAACAGCAAAAACAAGTACCTACAACGTTTGTCGTTCCCAGATTAACAATGCGGAATAAGATATTCGGCAAGGCAACGCTAAACGTGAAGAACACGAACACGTCCCAGTTGTGTTCTTGGTGAAGTAGCACAAAGAGAATTGTGCGAGTGGAAAGACGGCCTTATATATTTTGTGAGACGAATAGTACGTAAGTACAAGAAGCTAAGGCAACTACTCCATTCAAAAATCAAACACCCGAAAGACAGTGGTTTCAAGCATTTATGAGAAGGCATCAAAACTTATCTTTGAGGCAGGCAGAGGATTTGGGGAAAGCGAACACTAACATCACACCCGCGATGATCCGAAATTGGTTCCAAAGACACCTTGAAATTACTGATGGGCGAAAATGCCTCTGTACACGAGCTCCCTGAACGAATTATCCACATGGATGAAACTACATTCTTTTTACATCTCAAGGGTGGGTGTTTGTGTTTCAAGTGTTTCTGTAACTAATTATAAGGAGAACACCACCATGACCAATACATAAATTTGAAAGACTTACTGTTCAATAGGTACCTAGGTATATCAAATCTGGATCGAAAAAATGGGGCCCATTTTAGCCGTGGTCAAAATCATGGCAAAAATCGGTGTTTGGTTGGCCGAAACTGGTGAAACACGACTTTTGCGATTACCATTTTTTGTGCCACATACGTGTTATCTCTCTCTATTCCACGTAAATTAACTCAACCTACGATATAAAGAATGAAATAGAAACCAATTCATTGGATACTAACCTCATTGGACGAATATTTAAACTGACTACGGGACATTTTGACACTATTCCGGCATAAAACAATGGTCATATCGCAGAGTGCCGCACATGTAGTTACACTACTTACCTACTTTACTGTTAATTTTACGGACTTTGTTATATAGACCATGGTATATATAGGAGGCCAATGGCATACCTACTGCATGCAATATACATATGATAAGTGTCATGATCAAAGTTAGTATGACGCATGATCAATTTAAACATTTAGATTTAAATGCATTATTAACGCGTTAGTCCAGTCAAATTACGGTTTGGGCTGGATGTTGTGACTTCACTCAACGAAACCAAGCGCATACTATGTAAAAAAATCCGCTGAATCCGAAAATCATAGTCCCCCTGGCCGGGAACGGCCGGAACATATTGTTATTAACAAAAAACGAAGAAAAAATGAGAAAATGTGTTCTTTCGCATTTGACTTAGAATAGCTCTCAGGGAAAGAATAAATAGAAATGAACTTGTTTAGAATAAAATTTTCTATAAGATAGGTACAGTTGGCCCGGAACGCTCATTTTCAACTGGTATTGTTTTTTATGGTAAAATGTAAAAAATTAATCTCTAAAATTAACAGTTTGTTATTACTAAGTAAAATTCATCCGATCTTTTTGAAAATCCGTATCTAGTAACTTCTTTTGATAACAAAACAATATGACAAACCCGATCACCGTAGGTTTCATAGTAATTGATTAATTAAATAAACAAGTAAAAAGGGATGGTTTGTCTTTCAAACTGAAGAGCGTTCCCAATTTTTTAATACATAGTTTAACCCTAAAACAATCTTTTCCAATAAATGTTCCGATAATTTTTGCAAACCAACGGATTGTGGAATTTTTTTAGTTGTCTAACAAACGGAATAGCTTCCGAGATATAACAAAAAAGTTAACTCTATAATCGGCCCTTGGCACTCGAATTAATAACAATCATTCATTTGGGTGAAATAGAAGCATAAAAAAGTTCACGCTGTAAAGAATCGATCGGTGCGGCCGGATTGGCAAAATCATTTTTGGTTGTTTCGAAAACTGGCTTCAAAGTCAAAAGCTGATTTCTCGTGAACTATTAATCGGATTTGGACGTAAAAAACACATTTTCTCGTGTTTTCTCCGTTTTTTGTTAATAACAATATGTTCCGGGCAATTCCGGCCAGGGGGACTATGATTTTCCGATTGAGCGGATTTTTTGACATATAGGATAGGTACGCTTGGTTTCATTGAGTGAAATTACAACATCCCAGTTTATACCACTTTTAAAGCTAATTTAACTGGACTACGTAATTTTTCTGAAAATGTAATGCAACCTATGTAACATAATTGGTTCAATACATTAATACATAATTATAATGGCGGTGTTTACATACTTGGACTC